TTTCCGAATTACTAGCAAACCCGCCCCAGGTGTGGCTGCCGTGTTCATCGGGGACAGAAAGCGACAGCGGTGGCCGCCCACGGGGCACGTCCTCAACTGGCGGCCCGAGCCCCTCTCCCACAAGCCTCTCTGTCTCCTCAGCACTTGCTTTTCGTCGGAAAAACTTTTCCGGGGCTTTTAAAATAAAGCACTTCCTCGTTTCAACCAGAAACGACCTTTCCATTCAAAAAAATAAAAACACTGTTGTCAGCGGCAGCCCTGGACTCCATCTTGATTGAGGGGCTCTGCGATCACTTGACGACCCCTCCCGCACCCCCAGGCATTGTACCTTCGCCGCGACCCTCGGCCGAGGACTCGCACGACGCTGGGGCCAGCGCTGAAAAGGGGCCGCATCTGTGCGAGGCCCGACGTCGGCGGGACGTCTCCGCGTGCTGGGCCGGGCCAATCAGGCGGGGTCCCGGGGGAGACGGCCTCGCCCCCGAGGCCCTCTTCCCTCGCCGGGGCTCCTTCTCAGGACGCACGGGCCGGCTCTGGTCTCTGGGAGGCTGCTGCTGCCCTTCGACGCGCCCACACGCTGGACACCGGGCTCTGACATCTCGGATCCCAGCCCCGCTGGGCGCAGCGTTGCCGGGAAACGCGTCCTAACTGGACTGCGCGACAGCACCTCAGCCCTTCGAGCGCATGCGCACGTATCCCTTTACGCATGCGTGAGCTCCAGGCCGGCTTAACGTCTGCAATAAAGCGGGGCGCAGCGCTTGGCAGCGCGTGGTTGTGGAGTCTGTGGGTGTCTAAGTCCGGGGAACCTGACTGCCAGGCTGCGGGTCGGTGGGGAGTCTCAGAGGCAGCACCGTGTTTTAAAATTCCAACTTGCTCAACCTTGGTAAAGATAAGGTGTCAAGGGGCGCTGTGGCATGGTGGGTAAAGCCGCCACCTGCAGTGCGCATCCCATGTGGGTCCCGGCCCCTCCACTTCCGATCCAGCTCTGCTGTGGCCTGGGAAAGCAGAACACGGCCCAAGTGCTTAGGTCCCTGCACCTGCGTGGGAGACTGGGAAGAAGCTCCTGGCTCCTGGCTTCAGATCGGCGCAGCTCCGGCAATTGTGGCCAATTGGGGAGTGAACCAGCGGATGGAAGACCCCCCCCCCCCCCACACTCCCCGGAAGCAGCAAGGAATGGCTCCCACCCCCACCCACACGGGAGGCCTGGGCTGAGTCTCTGCCTCTGCCTTGGGGCTGGGCTGTGGATGTTTGAGGACTGAGCTAGTGGATGGGAGACCTCTTGTCTCTCTGCCCCTGTCTGAAAAAGCCTGCAGAGGCAGAAGCATGTAACGACCAGCAGATTGGTCATTACACGGTCACTTTTTCCGGGTCAAAACAGCAGCTCAGTGTGGTTAAATCCCTGCTTGCAACGCCCAAGACCCATATGGGAGGGCCAGTTCGAGCCCTGGTTGCTCTGCCTCCCATCCAGCACCCTACTAATGCACCTGGGGAGTTAGGGGAAGATGGCCCAAGTACTCGGGTCCCTGCTACCCACGTGGAAACCTGGATGGAGTTCCTCGCTCTTGGCGTCGCCGTGGCCCACCTTAGGTTTTCACACGGAGAATACTTAGCGCAGGGAACGGATTACAGAAAGTGCAGAAAGGGGAAGGAGCGGGAAGAGGAAGCTGATGTTTTACAAAAACCCCAGGAAACTGCTCGCAGCCAAGGGCCAGAGAAGGGAACAGGACGTTTGGCCTTTGGCCCTGTGGATACAGGAGTCCAGAAGCCGCCTGTTTGCTGCGGGGTTTCACGCCTGGCCCCACTCTGCAGCTTCCTGCTCATACAGGCCCCGGGGGGACACAGTGATGACTCGAGTGACTGAGTGCCTGCCAGATGGAGCTCCTGCTCCGGGCTTCAGCCCTGGCCCAGCCCTGGGCTTTGCAGGCGCTTGAGGGGTGAACCAGCTTAAGCGGGAGTGCTCGCTCGCTCTCTGCCTCTCAAATACATGCATACATAAAAAATATTTAAAAAGCATTACGGGCAGTTTCAAATAAAATCGAGGAAAACAGAGGAGAAGCGGTTGTCCTTGGAGTGGGGGCTGGCCTGTGAGGACGCCTGCCTCCCACATCAGAACATCACATTTCCTGCTCCAGTCCCGGCTCCGGCGTCTGCCACTGCAGACCCTGGGAAGCAGTGTGAGAGCTCAAGCCACTGGGTGCCTCCACCCACGTGGGAGGCAGTGGGTGGCAGCTCTCTGTCTCCAGAATAAAAATAGAGATGACCCTGCAGTGCTGCATTAGGGACAGAGAGGGGTCTGGTGCTGTGGAGCAGTCGTGGGCCACCTCTTGTGACCTGGCTATCCCATGTAGGAGCACCAGTTCTCGTCCGGGCTGCTTGCTTCTGGTCCAGCTTCCTGCTGCCGTGCCTGGAAAAGCAGCAGGAGATGGCCCAAGGACTCAGGCCCCTGCCACCCACGTGTTCCTGGTGCTTAGCTTTGGTGTGGCAGACACCTAGCTGTTATGGCCATTTGGAGAGTGAACCAGCAGATGGAATCTCCGTTACTCTTCCTTTCAAATGAATAAATCTTCAAAAAATGACAAGATACTACATATTATTAAATGAAAAAGAGCCAACCTTAAAAGGCTATACACTGTATGATCCCAACTATGTGACTCTAACACAGGCAAAACTAGAGAGACAGTAATATATCTATGGTCACCGGGGTTAGCCAAAAGAGAGAGGTAAAGAGGTGGAGTACACAGAGGCAGGCTCACGCCCTGAGTGCCTGGGGCTGGGCGCACAGTCCAGGTCTCCCACATGGGTGGTGGAAAATCAATTATTTGAGCCATCACTGCTGCCTCCAAGAGTCAGGAACCAGAGGTGCAATCGAACCCTAGGCACTGGGGCCGGCACTGTGGTATAGCAGGTAAAGCTGCCACCAGCATCCCATATGGGCACCGGTTCAAGTCCCGGCTGCCCCACTTCCAATCCAATCTGCTATGGTCTGGGAAAGCAGTAGAAGATGGTCAAGTCCTGGGGCCCCTGTACCCATGTGGGAGATCTGGAAGAAGCTCCTGGATTCTGGCTTTGGATTGGCACAGTTCCGGCGGTTGCAGCCATCTGGGGAGTGAACCAGCGGATAGAAGACCTCTTTGTTTCTCCATCTCTCTCTGTGTAACTCTTTCAAATCTTAAAAAACAAAACAAAAAACCCCTAGGCACTCTGATGTGGGACATGGGCATCTTAACCACTAGGCTGAATGCCCACTCTCAGCACAGGATTCTTAGGGCAGTGACGCTACTCTGCATATGAAATGTTACATACATGTCATGATGCTTGTCTAAATCTACACAATGTACAACACCAAGGTGAGCCCTAGTGAAGCTATGGACTTGGTGCCAACAATGTGCCAATGTAGCTGCACGACTTGCAAACACAGCACATGGTGGGGGATGTCGATAACGGACACCGCTATGGACGTGTGAGGGAAGGCGGCAGATGGGAAATTTCTGACCTGTTCAATTTCGCTGCCAACTTAAAACTTCTAGAAAAGCAGTCTATTTTAAAAAGGAAACAACTGGACTGACGACTCAGCTCTCCACAGTACAGAATAATCTCTTCAAAGTTTGAAAGCAGGGTTGGCATAGTGGTGTCGGCCAAGCTTCCACCTGCTGGGCTGGCATCCCATAGTGGGTGCTGGTTCAAGCTCCGGTTGCTCCACCCCCGACCCAGCTTCCTGCTCAGGTGCCTGGGAAAAGCAGTGGATGATAGCCCAAGTCCTTGGGGCCCTGCACCCATGTGGGAGACTTGGAGGAAGCTCCTGGCTCCCGGTTTTGGCCTGGCCCAGTCCTGGCCAATGTAGCCATCTGGGGAGTGAACCAGCAAATGGAAGATTGATTGCTCTCTCCTTCTCTCTGTATCTCTGCCTGCCTTTCAAATAAATAAATCTGTAAAAGAAAAAAACAAAGTTTGAAAGCAATTATTGTCCACCTTGAATCATCAGGTCAGTGAAACTGTCCTTCAAGAGTGATAGGGAACTAGAAGGGCAACTGAGGGATCAGTAGCAGTACCTTCTCTGCTTAAGTCAATTTAACAAAAAAAGAGGCTTGGGGCCGGCTCGGTGGTGCAGGAGGTTAATCCTCTGCCTGTGCCGCTGGCATCTCATATGGGCGCTGGTTCTAGTCCCAGCTGCTCCTCTTCTGATCCAGCTCTCTGCTATGGCCTGAGAAAGCAGTAGAGGATGCCCAAGCCCTTGGGCCCCTGCACCCGCGTGGGAGACTGGAAGAAGCTCCTGGCTCCTGGTTTTGGATCAGTGTAGCTCCTGCTGTTGCAGCCATCTGGGGAGTGAACCAACAGAAGGAAGACCTTTCTCTCTTTCTCTCAAATAAATAAATCTGGCACAGCGGGTGAGGTGCCCGCATCCCAACGCAGAGTGCCTAGATTTGAATCCCGCCTCCGCCTCAGATCCAGCTTCCTGCTCGAGTGCACCCTGGGAGGCAGCAGGTGCTGGCTCAAGTCCTTGAGCCTTGACACACATGTAGGAGAACCACATGGAGTTCTGGGTTTCCTGGCTTTGGCCCAGTCTTGGCTGTTGTGAGCATTTGAGGAGTGAACCAGTAGATGGATCTCTGTCACTCTGTCTTTCAAATAAATAACTAAATAAATAAACCTAAAAAAAAAAAAAAAGTGTGTGCTAGAAGGCTGACTCCACAGGGCGAGGGGCTCAAGTCCCAGACCCGACTCGCCTGTGGGCTCCTCTGCTGGCATGTCTTGATTTCTGTCCTCTTTTTTGTGCATAATAAAACTAATAATAAATATAGCATTTTCCCGAGTCCTATTATCAAGCCTGAGTGGCAGTGGCACCTCCTGAATTTGCAGCAGGGTCAGGAGTGCAGGTGGCTGGGAGCTCCCAGCTTGTTGCTGGGTCTGAAGTGAGGGCAGTCTGGTGGAGGACAGTCCGCCTGTGTTAAACCTGTGCAGTGTGACGCTCGCGGGGACTGCGTTTCAGACATCGAGACAGGGGCTATGGAACGATACGTTTTAATTAGCCAGGAGGATGACACAACTCCAAACTTTATGCACCTAATAACTGCTTCAAAACACCTAGAGCAAAAACTGAGAGATACAACATGGAACAGACAAATACACCTAAGTTAGATCAACTGACAAAAACATAGAATATTTGAATAACACAAATTATAGGCTTGATCTAATGATCACATGTATATAATTGCAACCAATAACTAGAAAACACAAGGTCTGCACAAATGAAATATTTACAAAAATTGGCAGTTAGGTCGTAAAACAAGACTCCATGCATTTCAAATAATCTGTATACTCTGAATCACATTCTGTGACCATCATACACTTAAGTTACACATCAGTAACAAAAGGAACATAAAACTATGAACACAATTGGGAATTACGATAATTTTTAAATAATTCTTTGTTGAAAAACAGATTACTACAATAAGAAAAATACCATGTACTTAAGCTTGTACAGTTGAACTGTAATGGTACTTAGAAGGAATTTTATCACCCAGCTTAAATGGTTGTAACAGAAATGGATGAAAATTGATGAACCAAAAATCCACTCAAGAAGTTAGAAATGTAAAAAGGAACTACTGGAATAAACTAAAATTTAAAAAAAGCAGGTAAAGACTGGGCAGAAATTAATAAAACAACAAACCAAAAGAGGTTAAGACAGTTGGTTCTTAGAAAAAAGCAACACAACTGAGAAACTTTTCCTGACTCGGATCTACCTGGAGACAGAGAAGGCCTCACCGGGAAATGTGCTCCCGTTCTCTCTGCTTGTGAAGCAAGTGGTAGGTTTCTGCCGGCCTGCCCTGGGTCTCGGGGAGGGACCCCAGAGCACGGCGTCACGGCAGGAAGGGTCCCCCCAGGCCCATCTGCTCCCAGCCACCTCACAGCAGTGTGTGAGGAGCAGATGGAGAGGAGCAAGCCTGCTTTGCTCTGAAAACTACGGGAAATTTTTCTACAGGTTGCCAATCTCGGTCTTTCCAGTTTAGTCATTTTCTTCTGCCACCACTAGGTAGAGAAGGGCGTATTTCAGAAAATTAGCCAGAAAATGCAATATGCTAAGCCAGCAGAGAATATCAATACTCAGATAACTGTGCTACAAACTACTGATCTCAGAAAAAATAGGAACTTATTAATGAACTAGTCTGTCTCCCAAAAAGCATTAGCCCTGGATGGTTTTCATAATGAAATTTTGTGACCAAATAATTCCAAATCTGCCCTTCTACAGAGCAAGAAACAAGAGAAAATACTCCCATATTTTTTAGGTGAAATGAATATAACATTGACATAAACACTGAAAAGCTAACAAACTACAAATCAATTTCACTTATGAATTCTAACATAAAAATCTCAAATCAAATGTCACCAAACAGAATTCAGTATCAATCTGAGTAATATGTCATGAGGCACAGTCCACATGCTTAGACCCCTACCCGAAAACCTAGGTACATAATCCAACATAGACACAGCACGGAAGACAAGTGGTTCATTAACATGGAGCTACCTTTAACAAAATTCCCAACTGCTCGTGAGAAAAAAGCCCAGACTAGAAGCAGGCATATAAGTACATTTCCTGGATGTGCTACAACACAAAAGCTAGCCCTGAGGAAGCTAGCTGGTTGCTGGGGAAACACAAGAAGCATTCCCACAAACGCCAGCAAAAAGACAGGGACAAGGTCTTCTCCACTCTGTGGGTATTTATGTTGGGGTGGGGCTTCTAGCCCAAGCAATTATACAAGAGAAAGGAGTGACAGGCACTAAAAATGGCAAAGGACATGGGAAAACTTGCTCTTTGTGGAGATGACTGTATGCCAAAGACGAATCCAAACAAGAGACTGGAGGAACTTTAATACAGCACCAAAAAATATGAAGAAATTAGTAGCATTCAAATGTACAAACAGCAAAACCTCACTCATGAAAGCCATAACAAAGAAATAAGCCTTGGGATATTCTTACCAAAAAAACACACAAGTCCTCCAGACTTGAAAACACATCTGAGGATACAGAAAGGTACCTGAATAAATGGAGAGATTATCAAATTACTGGACAGGAAGCCAACAGTACAAAGATGTTGGCTGTCCCTCAAAATCACACGCATGTAATGCGACCCGTATACAGTACCAACGACGCTGCTCAAAACAAGCAAAGCCCAGAAACTTCTTAAAAACTTTTACTCAACTTTAGTCGAGTCCTAAAGTTCCACAATAGAAAAAAAAAAAAGTCAAAGAAAATCTAGAAAAACTGTGGAAAAGAGCAGCAATGGGGGCGAAACAGCAGTATCAGAACCCACAACAAAACACTGCAAACGAACACGAATGAGCAAGTGTTCCTGTAGCAGGACCAGCCTTCTAAGCAGGACTCAAAGTCTAGAAGCCACAGAAAAGCAGAGACACACAGCTACACTACAACACACACTTTGTCTACATTTCTACAGGCCTGCAGTATGGCATCCCATATCAGAGAGCTGGCTTGAGTCCCAGCTACTCCGTTTTTGCCCCAGCTTTCTGCTGGAGCAGGCAGTGGAAGACGGCTCAGTGGCTTGGGCCCCAGGATCCGCGCGGTAGAGCTGGGAGCTGTTCCTGGCCCGGCAGCCTTGGCTGTTGCAGCCATTACGGGAAGGGGGAGAGGCGGGGAGGGAGGCAGGGGGTGAACCAAGGGAAGGACGGAAGATCTCGGTGGTGTGCTCCCTGGGGGGCTCTACCTTTCCACATGTTAAAAACAACAAAGGGATCAAAAGCAATCAAAACTGAGAAACTGTATTTCTACCTCACATTACAAAAGGCTAACTTCCTTAGTGACTTATATACAGACTTGCAAGCCAATAACGTTAGCATAGTGACGCTACCCTGATCTGAAAAGGGGGACAGCAGTTCCCCGCTGACGCCAGTCTGCCGAAGGGCGGAGAAGCCACAGCTCCCGAGCACCTGGGCTCTGCACACCCGCCCTTGTAGCTATGCAAACTGCAGCGGGAACCGTCTTTTCACTGTCAGATCGGCCAAAGCCCAGTCTGACTGCCTGGCCAGGCTGTGGGGACCCAGGCGCTCACCTCACCCCGGAAGGGAAGGTAAACCGGCAGCGCCCCGGGGAGCGCTTAAGTCATGCAGGTACCCACGCGTGCGCCCCCTCCGCGAGGACGTAGGACAAATACGTAGGGATAAAATACATAAACACGGAGGAAATGCATAAATACATCGGAAAACGCTAAAACATTCTGTAACTAACCCCATGTCCAAAACACCACTAGTTAGTCTATTCAGACACAGTCTAAACGAAACAAAAACCTGATATACAAATCTGTAAGTGAAAATAAAAAAATCCAAGGTGCTGACGGAGGTCTCTGTTACCTTGCCTTAGAAGAGGGGAAAAAATATTTAAATTAGGGCAATTTGCATATACACTAGAAAACTGTTGAAAGCGGGAGTCCCTCCGCCTTGGGGAGACGTCCCCCGGCTTGTCTTCCGCGGAGAGAGCAGACGGCCAGTTCTACAGTCTAGAATGACACGGTTCAGACAGTCACGGCCACTGACCATCCCCTCGCCCCGCACTGTCGCACGGCCCTGCAGACGCGTTCACCTCCCGATCCAGCGCCCGGCTTTCTCGATCTGAAATACTCGTCACTCCTCTCTGAAGAATCCGACAGCCGCGGGAAGACCCCCCCCCCCCCAGGTCCTCCAAGTCCGCAGGCCGCGCGCGGGATTCCCTCCGACCATCGAGAGTCCGGTCTCTGGGTTCCGGCGGGACGATCTGTCCTGGGCTTTCTCTTTGCAAAATAAATAAATAAATAAATAAAAACCCCAAAAAACAAAAAGCCCAGCGTGGGAGGCGAGGAAGCCGAGGGGCGCGGCCGGGGCGTCGGCTCCGTCCCCGCGGCTCAGTCGGCCAGCGCGCCCAGCGCCACGGTGAAGGCCGCCGCCTCCGAGTCCAGCTGCGGCGGGTCCGCGTCGAAGGCCGCCTCCCGCGCCTTGCAGCCCTCCACGAACAGCCGGCGGCGCGCCTCGAAGTCGCGCAGCAGCCTGACGGGGATCATGGCGTAGCTGTCCAGGTACTGGCGGAACAGCTGCTGCTCGCGAATCCCGAGGAGGCCGAGCTGCTCGTGGAGGCTCGCCGTGGACACCGGGCCCGGCTCCGGCCCCCGCGCCAGCGGCCTGGCGCTCGCGGCCGTCGGGCCTTCCCGGGCCTCCCGGGCCCGGCTGCGGCCGCCTACGCCGGCCTGCAGGACGTCGCTGACTCCACTCGCTGCGCCCATCTCGGGGACGTTGCTCTCTCCGGGCGACTCGGACATCGCCGCCGCAGCCACCGCCGCCGAGGCCGCCGGAGCGTTTCCATAAAAACGGGTAACGACGGCTCCGCGGGGCGCGTTGAGGGCCACGCGCATGCGTGCGTCCGGGAGCGCGCGGAACGCAGCCCTGCAAAAGGATGAGCGCATGCGTGAGCTCGGTGTGCAGGTCTCAGGCGCCCTCTAGTGGTGCTGAGTGCCATTGCTGCTGTAGTACTCCCCAGTCCTGGGGTGCCATGCTGTAGATTCGACCAATTCAATATTCGTGTGGGCTTCTGGTAAGATCATTTCCCAGTGCTTATCTTTTTTTTTTTTTTAAGATTTTATTTATTTATTTATTTATTTGAGAGGTAGAGTTACAGACAGAGAGAGGTAGAGACAGGTCTTCCATCCGCTGGTTCACTCTGCAGATGGCCACAAAGGAGCTAAGCCAATCTGAAGCCAGGAGTCAGGAGCTTCCTCCAGGTCTCCCACGTGGGTGCAGGAGCCCAAGGACTTGATCCATCTTCAGGTGCTTTCCCAGGCCATAGCAGAGAACTGGATCAGAAGTGGAGTGGCCGGGACTTGAACTGGCACCCACATGGGATTCCGGGGCCCCTGGCAGAGGCTTAACCTACTGGGCCACAGCACTGCCCCCCAGTACTTATCTTGATAGGACTGCAGGTTTGTTTAATGCATATTTTTTATTTTTTATTAATATTTTATTGTTAACTGGCACATTACAATTGTACTTATTTATGGGGGTACCATGTGATGTTTCCATACCAGTGTATAATGTTCAACTCAGGGTGATTAGTGGATGAAGATCTGCTTTTTTCTCCCCCTCTGTTTCTCCGTCACTCTGCCTTTCAAATAAATAAAACTTTTTTCTTATTTTTTAAAAGATTTATTTATTTATCTGAAAGGCAGAATGACAGAGAGTCAGGGGCAGAGGCAGAGAGAGAGAGAGAGAGAGGGCTTCCACCCACTGGTTCAGTCCCCAAACAGCCACAATGGCTGGAGCTGGGCCCATCAAAGCCAGGAGCCAGGAGCTTCTTCCAGGTCTCCCACAATGGGTTCAGGGGCCCAAGGACTTGGGCCATCCTCCACTGCTTTCCCAGGCCTTAGCAGAGAGCTGGATCAGAAGAGGAGCATCTGAGACTTGAACTGGTGCCCATATGAGATACCGGCACTGCAGGTGGCAGCTTTACCTGCTATGCCACAGTGAAGGTCCCTCTGTTTTTTTTTTTTTAATGACAAAGATAAATAAATCATGTTGCTGTTCCTCTGAGTCCATTGTTAGGCGGATGCTCTGTGTCAGACCCCAGGGTGGCTTGGAACAATCTCTGCTTGCTTGTGTTTGTCACCTCCTCCCTAGAGTGTGTACTGTACATTTTCTAAATAAATCTTTTAATTTATTTATAGACAGTGAGAGAGAGACAGAGAGAAAGGTCTTCCTTCTGTTGGTTCACCCCCCAAAATGGCCACTACGGCCGGAACTGTGCCAAGAGCCAGGTGCTTCTCCTTGTCTCCCATGCAGGTGCAGGGCCCAAGCACTTGGGCCATCCTCCACTGCCCTCCCGGGCCACAGCAGAGAGTTGGACTGGAAGAGGAGCAACTGGGACTAGAACCGGCACCCATATGGGATGCCGGCGCTGCAGGCAGAGGATTAACCAAGTGAGCCATGGCCCTGGCCCCTAAATTTTAACTTTATGTTTCCTCATGGCCTCAGCATCCTCACACACAGCTGCGAGGAGCGCACCCAGTGAACAGCGGCCGAGGCAGCGAGGCTGTCTCCTGCCTGGGCTCCCTTTCCCTGCTCTGCCTGGCCAGGACCCGGGAGTCAGTGCAAAGGCAGCAGTGAGATGCCCCGGCCCCCAGGGAAGGCACTTGCCCAGGGGGACCTGTTCTCTCTCTGCTCCCCACTTGCTCCATTGGCCCTCTTCCCGGGGGGCCTCAGCTCCATGGGCTGCGCCTGTCTTATGGGGCCTGAGGGTGTCTGCTGGTTCCCAGAGGCCTTCCCGTGCTGCCCCTGTGGGACCTTCCTGACCACAACAGTGTAGGATGGCGCCAGCGCTGTTACACAGCGGGTAAAGCTGCTGCCTGCAGTGCTGCCTTGAGTCCCGGCTGCTCCACTTCTGACCCAGCTCCCTGCTAATGCACCTGGGAAAGCAGTGGCAGATGGCCCAGTGCCTGTGTTCCTGCCACCCACATGGGAGGTCCAGAAGAAGCTCCTGGCTTGGGGCCAGCCCAGCTCTGGCCATTGCGGCCATTTGGGGAGTGAACCAGTGGATGGGAGAGCTCTCTCTCTGCCTCTCCCTCCCTCTCTCTCTGTGTAACTCTGCCTTTCAAAACAAACAAACAAATAAAAGAACAGTGCAGGTGAGATGCACAGCTTGCTTCCAACCAGTAGGAAATGGCAGCAGGGATGGACTGTCACCCTGCGGTCACATCTTGGCTGACTGGAGTCGGACTGTTCCCTGACAGCTTTGCAGGGAGCTGTTATGTTCTGGGTTGGCCTAAAGAGAGGGGACCACAGGGCAGGGAGATGTGGACGGCCTCTGGGAGCCGAGAGTAGCCCTGCTGGCAACCAGCAAGAAAATGGGGACCTCATTCTGCCAGCAAACCGCGGGCCTGAAGTGGCTCTTCCCTGAGTCATGTCTCTGCTGAGGCCATGGCTGTGTGGGACAGCTGGATCCCGGCCGGATCCCAGCCCAAATCCCAGCCAGATCTCAGCTGGATCCCAGCCAGATCCCAGCCCAGATCATAGCCCGGATCCCAGCCAGATCCCAGCCCAGATCATGGCCCGGATCCCAGCCAGATCCCAGCTGGATCCCAGCCCAGATCCCAGCCCGGATCCCAGCCGGATCAAAGCCCAGATCATAGCCCGGATCCTAGCTGGATCCCAGCCCAGATCATAGCCCGGATCCCAGCCAGATCCCAGCCCAGATCCCAGCCCGGATCCCACCCTGCCGAGATCCCGAGGCAGAGAACCCTGCTGAGCTGCGGCTGCACTTCCAGCCTAGACGGTGGTGCTTATTTTAGGGTCCGCCTGATGCAGTCCTCTCTGTAGCAGAGGGCTGGGCGAGCATTCGTATGGGGCACAGGTAGCTTCCCCCTCAGAGAGGCCCCTTCATACACCTCGTCTCCAGACTGCCTGGCACCTAATTTTCCTCTTTGTTTTTTATTTGAGAGAGGGAGAGAGAGAGAGAAAAAGAACAGGGGTTTTACCTCCTGCTGATTCACTCCCCAAATGCCTGCAACAGCCAGGGCTGGGTCAGGCCAGAGCCAGGAGCTGAGAACTCAGTCCCGGACTTCCAAACAGGTCACAGGAGCCATGGTCACGGTCACTGCCGCCTCCCAGGGCCTGCAGCAGCTGGAGGCAGAGCTGAGCCCAGGCATTCAGATGTGGACTTGGGCATCTTTTTTTTTTTTTTTTAAAAGATTATTTATTTATTTATTTATTTGAGAGGTAGAGTTACAGACAATGAGAGGGAGAGACAGAGAGAAAGGTCTTCCATCTGCTGGTTCACTCCCCAATTCTGGAGCTGTGTTGATCCGTTGATCCAAAGCCAGGAGCCAGGAGCTTCTTCTGGGTCTCCCACGCAGGTGCAGGGGCCCAAGGACTTGGGCCATCTTCTACTGCTTTCCCAGGCCATAGCAGAGAGCTGGATGGGAAGAGGAGCAGCCGGGACTCAAATCGGTGCCCCTATGGGATGCCGGCGCTGCAGGCAGTGGCTTTACCTGCTACGCCACAGCACCGGCCCTGACTTGGGCATCTTAACCAGCACCTTCATGTCTAGGCCGAATGTTTACCCAGCCTTATGTGTTTTTATTTAAGAGACTTTTATTACATTATGTTGTTATAATTGTTCTATTATGCCTAACTGATAAACTTGATCATAGATGAGGTCTATGCAGGAAGAAGCACACACAATGCATTCAGCGTAGGGCTCAGTACCCAGTTTCAGGCAGCCGTGGGTGTCTGGGCACCCACCTCTCATGGATAAGGAGGCACTTCTTATGATTATTTTTCAGTATAATTGCCAGCCTTATGCTTTCTTAATTTGGCTGCTCCTGTTTATTTATTTCTATCTACTTGAATGACAGAGAAAGAGAGAGAGAGAGAGAGAGAGAGATTGAGTTTTTATCTGCTGCTTCACTCCCCAAATGCCTGCAACAGCCAGGGTGGGGCCAGACCAAAGCCAGGAGCCAGGAACTCCAGCCAAGTCTCCTGTGTGGGTGGAAAATCCCCAAGTACTTGGACCATCACCCTCTGACCCACAAAGCTGAATTGGAAGCACGGAGAAGCCGGTATTCACACTGCCCCTCTGGACACGGGCTGCAGGCATCCCAAGCAGCAGCCAGCTCCGCACCGCCTCACCTGTGCCTGCATTCTTTGTAATAGAACTGTATGTGCAGTGCTTTCCGTGAGTTCTGGGAGCTGCTCTGCTGAATCTCTGAGCCTGTGGGTGGTGAGAGCCCCGAACTGACAGCTGATTGGTGGGCAGGGGTGCAAGTGGCCCTGACGCACCTGCACCTGACACTAGGGCAGTCATTAGGCCAAACCCGTCCAGCTTGTGGAGGCCGACGCTGACTCCAGGCAGCCGGTGTCAGAACTGGAGGGGCTGGCGTCGTGGTGCAGCTAACCTCGTGAGTGCCAGCTGCTCCACTGCCGGTCCAGCCCCCTGCTAATGCCCCAGGGAAAGCAGTAGACGATGGCCCTAGTGCTTGGGCCCCTGCCACCTTTGGGGGAGACCTGGATGGAGTTTCAGGCTTCTAGCTTTGGCTTGGCGCAGCCCCAGCTGTCGCAGCCATTTGAGGAGTGAAACAGTGGATGGAAGATTTCTCTGTCTCTCCACACCCCCCCCCCCACCGCCTAACTCTTCCTTTCAAACAAATATTTTAAAAAGAATTGAATTAGAGTATATCTCTTGGAGTGGAAAAGGAACAAGTGGCAAGCTGACCCATTGAAAAAGCAACAGTCATTCAGCACAGATGAGAATTTTCAGAGACAAAATGTCAACCCAACCTAGATACAGTGTTAAATCAAGATAAAATCAGTCCCAGTGGGATGTGGGTTGTGGCACAATGGGTTAAGCCACCGGCTACAGTGCCGGCATCCCTTATGGGCGCTGG